TTATTGTGATGTTTTTATCAGCTGTTTGGACTCTCATTCTGACGGCACCCATTCACTGCAGAGGACCCACTGGTGAGCAAGTGATGCGATGCTACATTTCTCCAAATCTGATGAAGAAACAAACTCATCTATATCTTGATTAGCCTGAGTGTGAGTAAATTCTCAGCAAAGTTTAGTTTTTGGGTGAACTATTCCTTTAACGTCATAAAGAAATGTTCCGGGTTCAGTTTGTAAAAACAAACAAAAATTGTTTCATGTTTTGCGTCGAAAACGGACAATTCCTTTAACCATGAGTTAATCACACATGGCAAGGCTGACTCTGCACCGCAGCATTTCCATAATCATCTCCTCCTTTTGCCGTGTCTTTGCCCTTCAGCCCACCCTTGCTCAATTCATGCATATTCATACTGTGGATATTGTCGTATTCATCTCCATATTCATTTGTGGGGTGGGGGGCGTGTCTCATGTCTCCTCCCCTCTTCCCCTCAGGACTGCACCTGTATCTCCTCCCACTCACAAGTCCAGCCCATCAGCATAGAGGAGCAGTATGAAGACATCAGCCGGCAGTGCTCGGTCAGTAGAATCTAACAATAGAGCCCAGTGTGAGCTTCAGTGTGTTTGAAGGTAACAGGCATTGACTTTTGTCTTCTTCAGACGAGCCATTCAAGAGAGATTCACACTGACACCGATTCAATTACTGCACTACTGTGGGCCGTTAGCGGGATTGAGGAAAAATTCAGAATTTAGGAGCTGGTTCATGTTGGAGGGAGAATTTGAATTTGTCACAAAACACAGTGCGTTGAAATAACGTTTGAATAGGAACAATGGGAAATATGCAAAATCCAAATGACATATCATATACACTACCGTTCAAAGGTTTTGGGTTGATAGTGTTTTGAAAGAAGCCTTTTATGCTCACCAAGACTGCATTTATTTGATCCAAAATACAGTAAAAACGGTAATATCGTGAAATATTATTATAATTCATGTGATATATTTTAAAATGTAATTTATTCCTGTGATCAAAGCTGGATTTTCAGCATCATTACTCCAGTCTACAGTGTCACACGATCTTCAGAAATCATTCTAATATGCCGATTTGCTGCTCGAGAAACATTTCTGATTATTATCAATGTTAAATACAGTTGTTCTGCATAATATTATTGTTGAAGGATTTTTGATAAATAGAAAGTTCAGAAGGATAGCATTTATTTGAAATATATTTTTGTAACAATATACAGTAAATGTCTTTACTGCCACTTGATCAATTTAATGCATCCTTGCTGAATAAAGATATTTATTTCTTAAAATACTTTTTTATTTCTTTCCAAGAATATAACCGTTGATGATTATACTGCATGGCAACAAAAATAAATAAATTAATCAATTAATACTGATTGATAAATAAATACTGAAAATACTTTTTTTTTGTGTGCAAAATGTACAAAATGTTTATTGCATTGTATTTAGGTAGTTCTTTAAAAATATTTTTTTACATCAAAATCTGGAGTAAATTCTGGGAAATTACAGTGAATGTTTTCCCACTATCATTTGCAATAAACAAATATATAAATTCAATTATTTTGGAAATGCCCCGTATTCCGTTAAATTTCATTTTCTGCTTCTATGAATTCAAATAAAAACTATTCAGAAATTGAAACGCACTCTGAATGACACTTATTTGAGTATTGTGCCATTTGTAGTTCGTGTTTGTCTGCTGTATGAGACTGTATCAGTAGATCACTTTGGTAGTTGCTGCATCATAGTTTGTCGCATTGCCGTCGGCCGCTGTTGCCCACGTCGCCTCAAATCACACACAGACTCTGATTTCAAATGAATGACTTCCGTTTGCTTTGCCGCTGCAAATAGCTGTCAGTGTGAAAAGCCTTGTAGGATATGAGAGAGCACAGTCACGCCAGTGAAACATCATCGCATAATCACAAACTCCAGTGAGCTTCAGGTTGTGCTCAAGTTTGATCTGAGTGGATCCATTGTATTGGGCATCACAAAGCAGTGCTTCTGTTCCATCGTTCTGGATGAAAGCTCACTTGTGCTGTTGTCCTGTGTTTTTGGCTGAAGGGATACTGTGGGTTGTCTTTAGATTTTCTCATCCTGTGGCAGAAATATTTGGTGTTTGACTGCAGTGATCTTGGCAACTTTCCCATTCATGGTCTAAAGAGGCTTTTCCAAAAATGCTTCAAACGTTATAGGCTTAAGAACTTAAAGTCTAAAATGTTGACATGTTTATAGAAGCTACCTGAATAATTACGAATCTAGTTTAATGGCACAGTGATTTGAATATAACTCTATCACCCCCTAGAGTTCTCAGCTATGTAATGCATGTCAACTATGAATTGCAATATTACAAAATTATTCAAAGCAAAAAACCTGGAGGTTCAAGACTTGTACTTATGAAGGATTGAATGAGCTCCAATAAAGCATTATGGACTGTGTAATTAATTACTATGTTTAATATACATTTTGAAAAATGTCTTATTTGAAAGCACTGCTACTGTGGTTCAATGGCACTAGCAGCACCAAAGCTGTGTTTGATTCGCAGGGAATGCATGAACATGAAATTTATATGCCATTTCTGAAATGCTTTTTATGTTATTCCCTCATTTCAATTGATACCTTGAAATATTCTACACCCACTAACCTCCATCTTAACTACAAATATTCTGATCTGCAAAAGATCCGTGTTTCTCAGTAGTGTTATTTTAGTATTATAATATACTATTATAGTTTTTACCAATATTTTGAATGAGCTTTTATTTTTATATTTTAAGTTTTAATTTTAATTGATTTTAAATAATTAATTTAATTTGTATTAAATAATGGTGTGTATTTATTTATTTAGTTTAGTTTAATTTATTTTCTCAATTTGATTTATTTCCAATCAGTAATTTTTTGTTTGTTGCCAAGGCAACATTTCTCATTTTCATTTATGGTTACACTTTAGTTTAGGGAATACTACTCACTATTAACTGGTTGCTTATTAGCATGCATATTACTAGCAAATTGGCTGTTTATTAGTGTGTATAAAGCACATATTAATGCCTTATTCTGCATATATGACCATATTCTACATCCCTTATCCCTAAACATAATTACTACAACAACAAAGTTTATTAAGGGCAAAACTCTGTAAAGTCCTACCATATTTATATTTATTTCAGTTTTATTTCAATGAACAATTTTATTTTATTTTTTTTGTAAGTTTTGGTTTACAATAATAGCACTTTTTAATAAAACTGATCTGAGGCCAGAAAACAGAGGCGACTTCATCCATGACCTTTCCATCTCCAGTCTCTGGAAGCAACAGTTCCTCTAGCATCACATTAGTGTTAGGCACAGGACAGGAACTGTCTTATTATGTTCTGTTTATATTTGATTCTTCCCTAGAATAACCCAGTAAACACGACCAGCATTGTGTGGAGTGTTTTATCAGGTAGAGTAGTGTGTGTGTGTGTGTGTGTGTGTGTGCTATATGTTTGTTCATGTGTGTTTGTGTGCTGTGTTATGTGTGTGTGACAGAGCAGTGATGTCTCTCCGTGTTCTGTGTTGACGGATGAAGATGACATCACAGATCTTTCCACTAACCCCGCCCACTATCAGCTGCTCTCACAACTGGGTAATGACCGTAACCTACTTTATACAGTATATGGTGTGTGTTAGCTACTCCCTGAAGTCTCATGTCTATATCATGTGTTTATATCGCTGTGTTTTGTCCTCTGTCTGTGGACAGGCCGGGGATTTAATAACCTCAGTCAGGTGAGCATGGCTCGACACACACCGTCTGGCCGGCTGGTGGCGGTGAAAAACACTAACCTGGATGAGTGTACAGAAGATGAGCTGCTGCAGCTGATGGTGTGTACATACTTATGAGAACATCACGCTGATTTCTACCATTTTAAAATGAAGCTGTATTGGATTGTAGTTTTTTTTAATAAAGCATGGCATATTAAATTGTAGTCATTTTTTTTATTATCACATTGTCTATTGAAACTTTGATAACTTTTTGGGGGGGGTAATTGTTCATATTTGATACATCAGGCTTTTATGGAATTGCATTTACAATCTTTGCAGCATTTCTGTTGATTTATGTATTTATTTATTTAATTGTGAAATGCTCATTTATTATAATTGTGTGCGTGCAACATCATTATTCTAAAATAATAAATAAAGTAAATATATGTAATTTATATATTGTATACTGTATATATGATACATTTATAAATGATATAATACATTTTATGTGTGTGTGTATATATGTGACCCTGGACCACAAAACCAGTCATAAGGGTCAATTTATTTTTAAATTGAGATTTATGCATCATATCAAAGCTGAATAACTATCCGTTGATGTATGGTTTGTTAGGATAGGACAATATTTGGCAGAGATGCAACTATTTGAAAATCTGGAATCTGAGGGTGCAAAAAAATCTAAATATTGAGAAAATTGCCTTTAAAGTTGTCCAAATGAAGTTCTTAGCAATGCATATTAGCAATCAAAAATGAAGTTTTGTTATATTTACGATAGGAAATTTACTAAATATGTTCATGCAGCATAATATTTATTTAATATCCTAATTATTTTTGGCATAAAAGAAATCAATAATTTTGACCCATACAATGTATTTTTGGCTATTGCTACAAATATACCCCAGCGACTTAACACTGCTTTTGTGCTCCAGGGTCACACATATATATATATATAAAATGGGCTAAAATAAAAGGAATGAATGAATAGCGACTTATGACTGCTTTTGTGCTCCAGGGTCACACATATATATATATATAAAATGGGCTAAAATAAAAGGAATGAATGAATATATATAGTCGTTTGACAGCACTAATATATATTAGTGCTGTCAAACGATTAATCGCATCCAAAATAAAGGTTTTTGTTTACATAATATATGAGTGTGTACTGTGTATATTTATTATGTATATATAAAGACAAACACGTGCATGTTTATATTTAAGAAAAATATGATGTTTATATATTATATATATTTATATTAAATAAAAAATATAATTATATAAATGTATATACATGTAAATATTTTCAAAATATATTCAGTATGTGTGTGTATTTATATATGCATAATAAATAAACACAGTACGCATACATACAGTAGTCAAATTTTTTTTCTAAAACCTCAAACCAAAATGCGTTCTTGTCAACTTTGATTAATTGTTTTGATCCACTTCAAATGTTGACTACTGTATATCATATAAAAAAAAACTTCTATTTTGAATGCGATTAATCATTTGACAGCACTAATATATATATTTGAAAATAATATTTATATTATGTTTACAAGAGCATTGTTGAAGTGAAAATCAATTACATTTTAATAATGAAAACATGTTGCATACATAAATATGTATATAATAAAAAAAAAAATTTTTAGTTTAATGTTACATGGAACTGTTTTCATAGGGACTGTTGATGTATGGAGTAAACTTCCAAAAATGCCAAAATAAAAAGAATAAATAAATAATAAAAAAGTAGCCTATAAGACTTATATTTTACGTTTTTTTTAAAAGCCATTCCATGAAACAGATTGACAATAATGTCATTATTCGAAGCAAATATAACAGCATTTGGGTTCGCAACAATATGAGAGGGAGTAAATAATGACGGAATGCTAATTTTTTGGAATGTGTTAAAGCAATAGTTTCTGTCATTCTGTCATTATTTGCCCTTGTAATGATGATTCAACTATTGCTTTAAGAGGACTGACTGTATTTGTGGGACATTTTCAGAATTTTAGAAGCGTACACACAAATCTTATGCATTTATAGTTATGTGTATTATTTGCAGAATGAGGTTCTGCGGTCCAGACTGTTCCGTCACCCAAACCTGCTGACGTCCAGACTGGTGTTCAGCTCGTGCTGTCAGCTCTGGGTGCTGTCTCCTCTCATGAGCTACGGTAAGAGTCACCTGGAATTCACAGAACATCCTCTTTCTTTTCCCATCCTTGTTTCATTTCCCTCTCCGCACACGTCTCATTCAGGTTCTGCAGACTCTCTGCTCAGGTCGTATTTTCCGGACGGAATGAGCGAGTCTCTGATAGCGTACCTGCTGTACGGGGTGCTCCGAGCGCTGGAGTACCTGCATCACATGGGTTACGTGCACAGGTGAGCACACGATGACTGTTTCACAGTGACGAGAAACCCGACTGAATGTGGTCTCCTCACCTGGTGTGTCCTGCAGGGGTGTGAAGGCGAGTCATGTGCTGCTGTCAGCTGAAGGCCGTGTGTGTTTGTCGGGGCTGCAGAGTGTGTACAGTCTGATGAAGGATGGCAAGAGGATGAGAGCCGTGTTTGACATGCCTCAGCACAGCCCGTCTCTGCTGCCCTGGCTGAGTCCGGAGCTGCTGCGACAGGTGACGTTCACACACCGTCCACACGTGAAAGCTGTTCCCAACAGTAGCGTTATAGACTGTTTATAACAAAAAACTAGGTATAAACAGCAAGACAACTTTTACAAATTATTTCAAAATTATTACAAATAAAAAAAAAATTAACTTGATTAGATTGTGGCACAGGTATTCTAAATGTGAAAAATGAGCACGCACAATTAAACATCCAAAACGATCTCATATACACGCTATCATTCTTTTTTTTTTGAAGAAGAAATTAATACTTTGTTTAGCAAGGACACATTAAATTGACCAAAACCGACATTATTTATTAATGTGACAAAAGATTTCTGGAGTAATTATGTTGAAAATGCCATCTCAGGAATAAATTGCATTTTAAAATATATATTGAAATAGAAAACTAAATACAAAATATTGTAAAATAATATTTTACAATATTACTTTTTTGCTGTATTTTTGATAAAAATGCAGATAAATGAAAAAAAAAAAAACATAAATAAATCTTACACACCGCAAACTTTTAAACTAACTTACATACTTTATTTATTAATTTTAACATCCTTTATTTCAGTGAGTTATTTCAACATTTCTCATTTACGTTTAACAAATCTTATCAAACGCTTACCATTTTTTATTTTATTTTATTTTTCAACTTTAACTTGATGTACTAAATTATCTTGAAACTAAAACTGAAATAAATTAATAAATAATAATAATAAAACCTATATAGACAAAAAAAAACTAAATTTACAAAAATGCACTACAAATTAAAATGAAAACAGAATATATATATATATATGTGTGTGTGTGTGTGTGTATATATGTATATAAAAAGTTTCTTTGAAAATGTATACTAATTTCTTAATACTAAAATAACACTGAGAAGAATACATTTTAAAAAATCACTAATATTGGCTGATAACTGATATATTACTAATAAATTGTACATTCTTATTTATAAGGCCTGGTCAACATCAGTTCTAAACATTGAGCTTCATGAGAATTTATGCTGGTTTTTTTTGTGTCTCTCTTTCTGTGATGAAGGATCTTCACGGCTATGTAAAAAAAACTACATTTACAAAAATGCACTACAAATTAAAATGAAAACAGAATATATATATATGTGTGTGTGTATATATGTATATAAAAAGTTTCTTTGAAAATGTATACTAATTTCTTAATACTAAAATAACACTGAGAAGAATACATTTAAAAAAATCACTAATATTGGCTGATAACTGATATATTACTAATAAATTGTACATTCTTATTTATAAGGCCTGGTCAACATCAGTTCTAAACATTGAGCTTCATGAGAATTTATGCTGGGTTTTTTTGTGTCTCTCTTTCTGTGATGAAGGATCTTCACGGCTATGGAGTGAAGTCAGACATCTACAGTCTGGGAATCGTGGTGTGTGAGCTGGTCAGTGGCAGAGTGCCATTCCAGGACATGCCGCCCACTCTGGTACTGCAGTTCTTCTACTTAAGTCTGAAGTAATGAATTTAGGTAAAGGGGTGCAGAGCCAGTGGTGGTTTTGTCGGCAAACATTAATGCCTTGAATTTTATGTGTATTTTTTTGGTAACCAGTGCAAATTGATAAACAGAGGTGTGACGTGCATTCTTTTCGGCTCGTTAAAAATTAATATTGCTGCCGCGTTCTGGATTAATTGTAAAGGTTTGATAGAACTGGCTGGAAGACCTGCCAAGAGAGCATTGCAATAGTCCACCCTAGACAGAACAAGAGCTTGAACAAGGAGTTGTGAAGCATTTTCCGAAAGAAAGGGCCTGATCTTCTTGATGTTGAATAAAGCAAATCTGCAGGACCGGGCTGTTTTAGCAATGTGGTCTGAGAAATTCAGCTGATCATCAATCATAACTCCAAGGTTTCTGGCTGTTTTTGAAGGAGTTATGGTTGATGTGCCTAACTGGATGGTGAAATTGTGATGAAACGATGGGTTTGATGGAACCACAAGCAGTTCTGTCTTAGCCAGGTTGAGTTGAAGGTGATGATCCAGTAAGAAATGTCTGCTAGACAAGCTGAGATGCGAGCAGCTATCGTCGGATCATCAGGATGGAATGAGAGGTAGAGTTGAGTGTCATCAGCATAGCAGTGGTATGAAAAGCCATGTTTCTGAATGACAGAGCCTAGTGAAGCCATGTAGACAGAGCAGAGAAGTGGTCCAAGAACTGAGCCCTGAGGCACCCCAGTAGTTAGATGTTGCGACTTGGACACCTCACCTCTCCAAGATACCTTGAAGCACCTATCTGAGAGGTAAAACTCAAACCGCTGGAGTGCGGTTCCTGAGATGCCCTTTGCCCATAGGTTTGACAGGAGAATCTGGTGGTTAACCATGTCAAAAGCAGCAGACAGATCCAGCAAGATAAGTATTGAAGATTTGGAATCCGCTCTGGCCAGTCTTAGGGCTTCAATAACTGAGAACAAGGCAGTCTCAGTTGAATGTCCACTTCTAAAACCAGACTGGTTGCTGTCGAGGAGGTTGTTCTGTGTGAGAAAGGCAGAGACTTGGTTGAGCACAGCTCGTTCAAGTGTTTTTGCAATGAAAGGAAGAAGGGAAACTGGTAGGGCTGTGCAATTAATCGCATGCGATTGTCATGCGCATCTCATCAGTAAAGCCGGTTTCATGATTGGTAGTAAATCTCCATCACGTGCTTTCAGATGGAACGGCATTTAATACACAGAGCCTTAGTTCACTGACAAGCTAGGTGATATTGTGTTCATAATCGAATGCGATTCATCTGTGAGTATGAATGCGATATTGCCTAATTGTCAGTGAACTACGGCTCTGTGTAGTGAATGCCGCTCAATCTGAAATCAGGTGATGGAGATTTACTACTAATCACGGGACCGGCTTTACTGACGAGATGCGCATGACAATCGCATGCGATTAATTGCACAGCCCTAGAAACCGGTCTGTAGTTCTCTAAAAGACATGGGTTAAGGGTTTCTTAAGTAGTGGGGTTATACGAGCCTGTCTAAATGCTGAGGGAAAAACACCAGTGTGAAGGGATGTGTTAATGATGTGAGTGAGTGCAGGTACAACTGCAGGAGAAATGGCTTGAAGGAGATGAGATGGAATAGGATCAAGCGGACAAGTAGCAGGATGATTAGAAAGGATGAGTTTTGGAGACTTCTGCCTCAGAGAGTGAAAAGAAGGATGTGAACGAGTGTATGTTTGCTGGTAAGATGTGCTTGACTGATTGTGGTGTGGAAAATTGTGCACTGATGGTTCATCAGCTGTTAGAGTTGGAGGAAAATGTTTTAAAGAGCATGCAAGAGTTATATATATACATAAAATGATAAAATGTAAATTTTGCACCCTGTCCAGAGCTGATGAAAATATCTAAAATATAAAAATAAACCTTTTTTCCTTTATTGAACCCTGTGTATTATGTGTGTGTTTGTCATTCAGGCCGTCTGCGACAGCTCTCCTCACTCATCCCTTCTTCAGACAGGTACATTCAGCCTTTCATCAAGCTGTCATAAACTCGATCCTGTCTTCAGTCTTACAGTGTTGCCTAAAGTAATTCATGTATTGATCTGTATTGATCTTCCAGGTGAAGAAACACACAAGGGACTCTTTCCTCAGTTTGATGTATCCGGCCGTGCCAGTGTCTTGTCCTCCAGGCACGCCTCCATCCGAAACGCCCACCCAGACCTGCAACGCGCCGTCACCCACCGAACCAGAGGACGGCATGTGGGACTTCTCCTAAACCTCGCTGCCTGTTTCTGTCTCCATCTCGTCTGTTTCTTGTCCATTTCTCACCCATTTCTCCATAAGTATATTCCGTATTAATCCGTCCTAACCAGCTGCTAGATTTAGTCATTTTGCTGTTAACTTGGTTTGTATTTGTCACCTCATACTACGGTAGCCCCAACCACAGTGAAATCTCACTAAATCCCATCTATATATGGACCAAAGTGTTGATGACATCATCTTGCACTCATGGGCATATCTACATTTTTAGCCAATCAAATGCTCTCTAGAACGAGCACATACCAGCTGCCTAGACTTTTCCCGACTAGCAAGAGCAAGTAAAAACTCGTAGTTGATGGCTGTGACTTAAACTAAAAGCCTATTAGCTTGGGCTGCACGATTCATCAAAATAAAACTGAATTTGTGATACAGTCTGTTTATTAAATCTCAGACTGCTTTTAATTGATTAAACATATGTCTTTCTTAAATACTTGATGTTTAATTTTACAGTAAATATGACAATACTAATATTTCTTACTTGAATAATTATTTATCAATAATCATGATAATAATAATAAAAATAATAATATTGTTTTTCTTGAACACTATTTTAATTTTACTGTGAATTATTATTATTATTATTGAGAAATAAAAATTATTCAATTAGAAATATTAGTTTTTATTTCACAGTAGAATTAAAAATAGCTATTTTTATTTCTCAATAATAATAATAATATTGTTTTCCTTAAATACTCTTATTTTAATTTTACAGTAAAATATTGCAATGCTAATTTTTCTTATTTGTTTAAAAATATATAATAATAATAAATTATGTATATTATATTCATCGTTATATGTAATAACAAAATTCTTGGCAAAGTTGTGCAGCCCTATAAACAAGCACGGCAAACCTGGGGGTTTTTAATCACAATTTTTCACAATCATGCAGCCCTACTATTAGCTATTTTTAAACAAGCATTTTTTTATATATGTCCCACCCAACTTTCTGTAAAATACAGGAAAGAAATCGCACTGTCAAGCCATTTGATTGGTCACTTCATGCAACATTTTCTCTTTTATTATGGACAGAAAAATGACACACTCTGTGACTAGTGTCTTATTCCATGCTGTATGCTCATAAGTATGCTGCACATTTTGGCCAATGTAGTAGGTCACCCAAGTATTCCATGCATACTGCCGCACATACTGTTAGTATGCTATTCTGAATTTAAACCATGTCAGTGTGTGATCAGAGCTTCCTGTTTGATGAACTAACTGCAAATCACTGGATTTGATCCAACTCAGATGAGTGAGGTCATCAAACTGAGCCATGAATGCAGGAGCCAGATATCATTTTGTGTGTGTGTGTGTGTGTGTGTAAGTCATTAGTGCATCACCCACTCAACCTGTGCCAGTGAACATGTGGGTGTGTGTACAGTACGTGTTTGTGTGCATGTATTTCTGTGTTCAGATATCCACAAGCCTCCTCTTGCTCTGAATGAAGAAACTGCACGTTTGAATCCTGTGAAGAAACAAACCAAAACATCAATGCTGTGCTGTTCAACCGCTCGTCAACACTGCCTCAACCCAATCCAGATGAAACTGAAGGACTGAGCAGCTGTAACTGTGACTGATATTATATTTACTGATTTTTTAAAAAACATGTTAACTGTATTTAGACGTGATAAATATATTCTTACTCTATTTCATAACTCTTTGGTGTCCTGTCATTTGGTTTTAATATATAAATGCAGTAGAGTCAAAGTGAAATTCTAAAAGTTCCTGCCAATTAAATAATTATATATATCGTTTTTTAAATAATATTTCTTACCTTATTTCCCTTGTAATTTTGCGAGCTTATTTAATTCGGTGAATTTTACTTTTAAACTCTCAAAAACATTTAATTTCCAGGAATTTGTTTTGCATTTGACAAACTTTTATTTACTGCACCAAAGCATTTCTGGCCAGCATGGGATGGTCATATATTGTCAAAATAGTCAAAATCATCATAAAATAAATAGATCCTGCATTTTTTTAACATATCATGCTTGCAAAAACCAATATATTTCATGTCAAGGTAACTTAATCTTTACAAAAGTACATGAATTATAGATTTACAAATAACGACGACCGAATTATTGAGGCTTAATTTAATAATCTTACCATGTTGATGGCATCTTATTAGTATTAATTAGGCAAGGTCATGTTTATACAGTGAGTTGTTATACATGTTTATCTGATCGGCATACGTTGGCACGTGAACGCTAGTCATTTGGCGAATTGCTGAAGTTTGTTTATGAATATTAATTTGATTACGTAACAAAACACCCCGGCCCGACTGCATGATAAATGTGTATATGCATTGTTAATTTATTCATATTGCTGGCAAAATTTTATATACATAAACAAAAATGCTTAAATTCATCCCCAATATTTAAGGTATTTTTAGTGGAATTTGATTGTTTTATATCTTCTCTGAAATTGTTAAAAAACAAAAGTCTTTAACGTTTAAAATATTATGACGTTATAATTAATTATGACGATTTTCAGTTCCCGTTACTAATTAATGTCACGCTTTGTATAGCACTGACTGTCATGCTATGCTCTGTTTGTTATTTGTTCTATTTTCATTAATAATAATAATAATACAAAAAAAATGAGGGGTATGTAAAAAATATTTTCAGTATGTCTTCAGTACGAAAACTGTATATTACTTAGTTTAGGCCTTCTTGACTTTAATGTGAATCTTTTAGATACATTTTTAGATTTTTATTAACTAAATTAAATAGTCTAAAAACAAACCAACTAAAATATCAGTTATAAAATACGACTGTAAAAAAAAAAAAATCTCAAGGAAGCGTACGCAGCAACGTAAGCATGATGTAATTAATATTCATTAGGCCAAGCCTTTGAGGGATTGGTCGTTTCGCTAGTTTCAGCCACGCCTTTGCGAGCTCCACATAGGCAACGTAAAGGAGTGCGGCCTGTCGTAAAACATCTAGGGAAGAAAACACACACACACACACACGCACGCACACACCTTCAAGCGACTCAAGCCCGTGCCGTGGCTTTGTAACGAGCCCGTCCCAGTCCAATGCGATGATATTCGTCTCATGCATCCGGGCTGTCAGGCTTATCTAGTTACTAAATGAGTCAAAAGCTAGTTTGGGTGGTTGAAACCGACAAGCTTTAAATGTCAGTGGCGCTTTCAGTTCATGCAACATTCCTGGATTCTTCAGCAGAGCACGAGCTGTGGGTCGGGAGCTTCGACGGGCTGCTTTTGTTGAGGCAGGTGAGTTTCTATTCATGCACAGTATTAGTATTGTATATGCCGCTGCCGCTTGTTATTATGATCTGATCTTTATAATACGAATATAAAAAAAACACAATTCGTGTTGATGTTAGGAGGTATTCGTAAGAGTTACATCTATTTCTGAAGTAAATATTTGAGTCAAGATAATGCTGTTGGTCTGAGTGTTGAATGTTTTCTATCTTGTGTTGTAAGTTTCTATCTAAATCTAATAATTAGTCATTTTTGACTAATTATTTCAACACCCAGAGTTCTAGATCAACTCTTACTATGTGCAAGTCCTTGGACATTTATAAATAATAAATGCACAGAAAATATCTGAACTGATATTGTCAAGTTATAGAGTTAAAATATAGTTTACATGCTATTTCAATGCTGAAATATAATGTTGGCTGATGTTGAGTTGACCTGGGATGATGTCATGGGTGTCTGTTTATTTTGGGCTATTTTTTCCTTCTCTCAAAGTCATGCATTGCATGTTTACTGTTATCTGTGGCATGCAAATGTGTTTTTGGAATTTGCAATGCATTCGTGCAGCATCGAAATCCAGGGCTGTTTTTAATGTGTGCTGTATTTGTCGACAGGGCTTGGAAGAACAGAGGAATTTTTGGAATATCGAAAAGCTCCAAGTCGTCTGGGATTCGTATCGTTCACATGATGGATGAGATTTCACAGTGCACGGAGGAAATGACACGATCTGTCACCCTGGATTAACACGGACTCCGATTCACCCATTGGTGGGATTTGCTATCCACGAATGAACGTGGCATTTGGGCAAACTCCTTTTGGCAGGATGTTGACACCATGAAGGCTTGGGAATACTGACCGTAATATAATCGGGAAGATTTCTGCCTACATGCTCACAGCTTGCGGTGCAGAATGGCATCGACCGAGAGACTGTATGAGGTTTGGATGCTGTACTGCAATAAGGTAAATGCACATGCGCTTTCATAGAGTTAATGCATTTAATTTCTCAAGCAAATGCATCACTAAGCACAGCCAAATAATCTCCTTGCACAGGAGGAGTGCAGTTTAATTTCTTTCTTTCTTGCGCAGTGCATGTGGCTGGTACACTGTGTTCTATATGTGAACGCATGTCGTGACATCATGAGATGCCCTCTGGAGAGATCCGCTTCAGTTGTGTTCATTGATGAGGGATTGTAGATACTACCGACCCCCATCTGTGACATCCCGTAATCGGACTTGGCTTAAGATAATCAACCCGAGATAATTCAGCGCACAGAGACAGATGGTCTCTTGGTTATACTTCCCCATTAACCACAGATGCGTTTGGGTGTTTAAGAGTTTTCCCATAAAGATCTCATGAAGAGAAAATAATGCTGCTTTACAAAAAAAAAAAGAAAAGTCTTAAAGGTACAGCGTGCCATTTTTTGTTTAATGTTAAACATCCCGTAATCGGACTTGGCTTAAGATAATCAACCCAAGATAATTCAGCGCATAGAGACAGATGGTCTCTTGGTTATACTTCCCCATTAACCACAGATGCGTTTGGGTGTTTAAGAGTTTTCCCATAAAGATCTCATGAAGAGAAAATAATGCTGCTTTACAAAAAAAAAAGAAAAGTCTTAAAGGTACAGCGTGCCATTTTTTGTTTAATGTAAAAAACTTTCTTATCCCAGTTCAAGATGTAGGAACAACTATAAGTACACCTTTAGATGTCAGTTTCCCCAAAAAGTGTAAACATTGCTCCGTTTGTTTGGTCAACATTGACTCAACCAATAGTGGGAGTTTGGGGTGGAGCTAACTTGTTTGACCGACCAATGACAGATCGGGGGAGTGTTCAGGAAATCTGTTTGAAAACATTATTTTTGCAGTTCCATTTTTGCTAGTGTTGTAGAAATGACACGCTTTAAAGAGCCTTACATGTCTTCAGGTTTAGGCTTTTTAATTGGGACTTTCTCTGAAATGGGTTTTGTTACCAAGATCTTTTTAGTTTTCACCCCAAGGAGCTGTCATATAGAAATTATTTTCACCTTCTGATCAATTCCTGAAATATAAATAAATCAAATTATGTAAGTAAAATGTGTTTCTAATTTATGTCCCCTCTAAAATGTGGAATTTATGTCCCTTCTATTTTTTTCACCCTAGAGATTGTGTTTGTAATATAGCTGCAGTGTTGTTTTGGTATTATCTATATACTATTA